ATTCAACCAGATAGGCTGGAGGGCGGGGCCGGGTCGATTAGAGAACACGTAAGCGTGGGAGATGCAGAGCCTGCCTCTCCCACGCTTACCTGCTCTCTAATCAATTAAAGTCCCGCCCTCCAGCCGTCTATCTGGTTGAAGCAGAGGATACTCAATGGGTTCATTTATGCACTTACCGATATTCTTTCCTGTAGATGTAATGGCGCTTAGAGCCCTTCGTGCACCTTCAGATCCACCAACAGAGTGTTCGACTCGTAACAAAACATCATACACACCGAGTTGCCCGGCAAAAGCATGCCTGAGACATACAAAAAAATTTTCGCTGTTTTCTGTGAAAGGAAGAGGAAAGAAATTGCAGCCTATGATTCGAAAAATAACTCCTGAGCGAGCGAACATGGCCTTACCCAGGTACTACTCCTGCCAGATCTTCATGTGGTCCTGCCATCCAGATACGATAATTTCTGGAAGATCGAAAAATTAAAGGAGCAATGTTAAAACCTTTGATCACCTTGTATTCCTCCAACTATGTACAAAAGCAATCCCGTAGTCGTTTACTGCTACTACCAAATCAGATCTAGAGCTAGCACCCATTGACAATAAATATTCCCGCATTTGTAATCGTAACCATTCATCGCTCCCCTCGAACACTGAAAGACGCAGATGGCAGAAGTAGCAGAGAATCAAAGCGTATGGTGAATTCCCACAAGCAGTGGACTTCCGATTGTCTTCAACGTTCTTCAATAGGTAGTCCCCAAACCGAAGATCGGCAGATGTAAGGCTGAGTTCTCTTCGGAGATTTGGGTCCAGCAGAGTTACTTGACCGCAACCTTGATCATCGACCTGAGGAAGGTTATTGCTGAAGTCAGTGTTCTTCAATAAAAGAAATGTTATTACCGTGACTATCGCGTCTAACAGCTCTTTCTTCGTGACAAAGAGCGCATTAGTAGCACCAATAGCGTATGCCCGCACTGCTTTTGATCTAATCATGTCCAGATATGATATGGAAAGATATGGATGAAAGAGGTAGCCCTTAACAAAATTTATACAAAAGTACATGAATTCTGACAACTGTGCCTACCTTTGCGAATATGCTTAGTGGAAAGCCAAAACTATCTTTGGTCAAAGGTGGTTCATTTTCTAGCACTGCAGTAGACGGTGGGACTATAACCTCCTCATCAGCTTCGTTAGCTTCCTCTGTCACAGGTGTAGTATTACCTAGATTTCCGGAT